TGATTTCCGAGCCTGCGCACAGTTTTGTTTTGAATGTCGTTGATGGTGGCCATGTATATCTAAGGAATATTTTAACCTCCGTTTGCGATACCAAAATACCCGTAAATCTGCTGTACCCGTCTTCGTAAATCCGCGAGTTAAACCCGTATATCTTTGGCATCAATCGCGGATCCCCCTTACTGCTGCTCAACGTTTGTCTCACTTCGATTTAAAGGCACTTCTAACTAACCACGGGCCACTGAGGATGATCTGGGACCGAAATTAATGAGGAGTTGCGGAGGAGTCTAACGGCTACCTAGCCTTCAATAACAGTTTTATTATTTCTAACGTGCAAATTAGCATAATATGATATATTATGATATATGATATTTTTATCCTTTCCTTTGTCTAAGTCTTTTTACTTTTTTATCGTTTTAATGGGGAGGTGCCTCACATTGGACTCTAGGTCCCTTTTCGCGCCAACCCTCTTGGTCCTTCTTTCTTGTATTATCATTATTTTTTCTTTAGTATTTTTGTTTATCATATACGAGGCAAAATTACTCGATGGTGATTGGCTTATGAAGGAGGGCTTTTTTCCGTAATTCTGGGCCGAATTACTAGAAAATGATTGGTAGTTCAGTTGCTTAGCAATGCTCATAAACTGCAAACTTTTCCTTGTTCCTTTGGATTCTGATTCAGATTAAGGACTTTGTTGGTAGGAATCTAGCTTTATGCATGTTTTTATGGGTTTTGACTGGACATTTTACGTTTGCCATTCTTTCGAATTTCAAGATTTAACAGTTCATTCAGTGGGATCCAAGGGAAACTTGCCAAATGATTATTGTGTAAACTCAGTAATCTATGATATTCTYTTGTAAAGAAGAAAACCTTGAAGTATTATTGTCCAAAGTTTGATAGAAGAGAGCATATGTTATAACGAAACACGTTTGAATTCTGAATAAAATTCTTTTGAACCATAACTACATTTGATTTGTAGTTGAGAATAAATGACAACGCATGGTCATTATATTGGTTTCAAGACGGATTTTTTTCGTTGAATTTTGCCCTATATATGATAAACGGGTAATCGTATGGTTCCTCATAAAATTAAGGATTAATTTTACTTGTGTTTTCAAAGTTTTGAAATTGCCCGAGTCGCTTCGCGTTTGAAAACACTCGTGAAATTAACCCTTAAATTTACGAGGAACCGTACGATTACCTATACGAAATTATTGTGTTCATTGAGAAATTTGAACACCAATAAAGCTGTTTAACAAAAAAATGTATACACTTATTTCAATAAAGTTAGTCACCCGAAAAGCTACAAATCTGAGACCGGCAAGGATTACGGGAAGATACATTTTACATGTTTCAACCGCTTGATAACTGTTGATGGACTTGAGATCTTCTACCAGTTACAAGTTAACCTCCTCTGAGCATCCTCAACTGCTGCAGTTTGTGTCAAAAGCTTTACTTGTTGAATATGAAATATTTCCCATGATTCTCAGCGATCACAGCTTTCTAGGTTTTTGGTGACTAACTTTATTGAAATAAGTATATACAGCTATTTCAAAAAGGTAAAATACTGCATACTGAATAGTGCATCCAAAGACCATCGTGGGTCTCATTAATTTGAAATAAAAAGTAAATATACAGCAATTAACTGTCTACATGTAGTTAGTATATTGTTTCAGATGGATTAAACTAAAAATAGAATCAATAATTATTATTAATCCTACTTTAGACAATGTCCCTATGACCCACAATGCACTTTGGTCTTGGGATGCACTATTCAGTATGCAACCTTGTTTGAAATAGCTATAATATAATCAAATGTGCGTAATGATAGAGTCTTTCAAGATGGCGMAGGGAACTGTGAAAGAGTACAAAGTACAAATTATCCCGGGATATCAATAGTCCTAAATATAATGTTTTATTCACTATTCTTATACGAAGCTTTGCACTAACTTGCACAATAGTGTTAGAGTGCAAACAATTAATCCGTGAAACACTAATTACTAAATAGTACAAAATAGTGCTAATTAAACAATAGAAAACAATGGAATTTGCATGAAATTGTGCTATTTAGTATTACTAAAGTTTCACGGTTATATTGTTTGCACTCTAGTTATAACATTTTCACGAACATATGGTATGCTATATTTTTGACTGAATAGTACCTTTGTACAATTCACCATTTTCCATACACCGGTTCACTGGTCAAACACAAAACATTCAGTCGAGGTTGCAAGGTTCAAATTTGAATAATCCTTTGAAAATACGCTTGGCGCCTCGCTCAAGCGCTTTGCGTTTGACCAGTGAACCAATGTATGAGAAAATGGTGAATTGTACAAAGGTACTATTCAGTCAAAAATATAACATTTACTATTGCACGGTTTGCACTCAAAATTTACATGGCTATTCTCTATTCTGTTATTCTATTCCCTTTATCCCTATTGGTCTACAGTTTAACKTAAATATACTACATATATACAAAGATTTATATTCAAAAACTATCTATAAACAAAGTAAAGAGTTTTTAAAGTTAAGAAAGAAAAACCTCAATATATTTATAAGTTTTCTAATTATTGAAAGTTCAAAAAAGAGTCAACAAATATATTTGCCTTCAAAGTGTAGTTGAACAGACGAGCCTTTCTAGTAATACCTTCAAGCGAGCTAAATGTCTTGGATAATTTCAAATGCTTGTTCTTTAAGCTCTTTCTCCACGGATCCTTCGAGCGAGCTGAATATCTTTAGGCATGATAGTGACTCGTTTGGCATGGATTGCACACAAGTTGGTATCCTCAAATAGCCCAACTAAGTAAGCTTCGGCCGCCTCTTGTAAAGCCAGCACTGCAGAACTTTGAAATCTCAGGTCTGTCTTGAAATCTTGAGCAATTTCTCGAATGAGCCTTTGAAATGGAAGCTTTCGAATCAGCAGGTCAGTCGACTTTTGGTAGCGCCGAATTTCTCGAAGAGCCACAGTTCCAGGTCTATATCTGTGAGGTTTTTTCACTCCTCCGGTTGCAGGAGCACTTTTTCGAGCTGCTTTGGTAGCGAGCTGTTTTCTTGGCGCTTTTCCACCAGTGGACTTTCTTGCGGTTTGCTTTGTACGAGCCATTTTATTTTTTTGGATCCACTGTTTCGCTTGCCTCCGCTTCAACCTACACTGCCTTGAAACTCTAACGTCAAACGTTTTTATTTCCGTTGGTGCACGGGGAAATCAAGATTTATTGAATATCATTGGCTGATAAACCTGTTGAATTTGGAATGTATGAATTTTTGTGTGACCAATTCTGCTTGACATCATCAGGCCCTTATTCTTTATCAAACGCATAAAGAGATATTTTCATAAGACCGTCTTGCTTTTTCGAACTTCGTGCACCTTGAAAACAAAAGCTTACAATTATTACTGTGGAATGTGGTATTCTTTGTTGAATGTGGTATCCTTTGTATTTTTTAATACTTCATGTGAACTTTATTATTCTGATAGTAGAACGTTGATAGAAACTGAACTACTCGAAATATAATATTTAATTTTCAAACTGGTATGGGAAGGAAGACAAATATATTTTTCGACTATGATCTAAAACTTAAACTATATCTCAGTCATTATATAACTCATATCAGCCATAGTCGAGTGATTTTCCTTCGCTCTTAAAAGAATAGTCAAGGTAATGCATTGTAGCAGACCCAAATTGCATATAGTTTTTTTTTGTTTTTCTTTGACTGTATGTCTCTAATCACGACACTGTTTCACGGACCACTCTATTCTTCGTTTGCACGTTACGTCATCGCGGSCATGTTGGTACCATTTAACAAAAGATTTCTCATTACCATCCATTGTTAACGGTACCACAATGGCCGCCATGTTTGTGTCTTTTAATTGTCTTGGAAATGCTTGCAACCCATCAACTGGTGGCTAGTAGAGAGAAAATATATTCCGTTCCAATAATAATAAGTCAAGAAACGCTTATGCTAACCTTTATTATCAAAGCATACGCATATGTAACCTTAGTTACAAGACCATCAGTAATAGTAACATGCAGTAACAAAATATCCTCAAAAACGAACAGCAAAGGAAAAAAATCTTGCTCAGCTTATTATAAGCTACAAAGGTCCGTTCGACCTCATCAAGCTGAATGAAAATGCTAAATTTTTGTTTTGGCTAAAGCAAAGAATACCAAATTTCCACGGGAAATAAATCGTCACCTTTTGCTTAGGGTTAAACGAAGTTCGGAAAAAAAGCGTTCATGTAAGAAGACAGTAGCTTTAACGGTAATGACAGGAAGAAATAATGAATAAAGAAAGAAAGGAATGGAAAAATGAAAAGAATCTCTTTATTGCCTTGTAATAGAAATAACATCGATTAATTCCAGTTAAAAATACCGGTTCCGGATAGATTTCAAGTAGGGGCTGGCTTTTACGGTTGTCATATATACCGTCATTGGGTGTTACCTTATTCTACCTAATGCTAGTCGTCAAACATCCCTCTGGAAACAATGGATCACGAGGTAATCATGATGGCTATATTAATTATTATAACTAGATTCTCAACTAAGCGCGAACTCGGCCTTCATAATAATTTATGCTTTTATTTTTTCAAAGCACTTAACTTGGTAGTTTTTTTTTACACCAAGACTCCAAAATTAGGGGATTCCTTTTTACATGCTTATTCCTTTAAACATTTTGACAATCGTCCAAATTTTAAATAGGCTGAAACTTCACTGAAAATTACACAGGGAGCCCGGCTTTGGAATCTGTACATGAATAAATAAATCAATAAAGTGCTTTGGGTTTCCTGTGTTGAGATTTGAAACATGACGCCAATGATAAATAAGTCAATAAAGTACTTTGGGTTTCCTGTATTGAGATTTGGTAACTTGATAGCAGATTAATGTAAGTAATTCGAGAGCAGCACAACACAGGAAACCCAAAGCACTTTATTGATTTATTTATTCATGTACAGATTCCAAAGCCGGGCTCCCTGTGAAAATTATCGTTAAGGGTGCAATAGTCACTGGATAAAGCCTTATTCTTAATATTCCCATGAGATGCATTATACTAGGAATCTATATAGGAGTCTGTGACGTCATTTACTTAACACTAATATCGCTCAAACATTTATTTGTATATATGTTAAGTGTATGCTACATCGAGTGTATAAGCAGATTAAAAAATCTGCCTCAGTTGGGTTCTCGCGGGACTCGAACCACTGATCTCTCGTTTACCAATAAGATAGTCTTTAGTCGCGTTTTTAGCCTCGAACTCTTTTTACAAACACTTTTCCCCTCAAAATTTTACAAAAAAAATGTAGGCAATTAAAAGAAAGGGACCAGTCATTATTTATTATGGGGGGTAGGGGGGGGGGGGATCAGTTCATTTTAATGATATTGAAACGAAAATCCTCCGAGCATCCCCCCCCCCCCAGGTGATAAGTAATGACCTGTCCCTCACAGCCAAAAAAATTTTTTCTTTATATGATTTTTCGCATGTGCAATCATTGCAGGAGTTTTTGCTGTTTCTAAGCTTCTTTATCTTGCTCCTCAGCAGCCATATAACTCACATCTCAAAACTGGGTGTTCAAGAAAAGCCTTAACGATAATCCTGACATGACGGGCTTTGAATGGAATGTCGAGAACATTGGTAACGACGGTGTTTCGGTCAGTGTTACCGGGAAGTTCCTAAAACGTAATAAAAATCCAAATTAGATCTCGGTGAATTATTTTTACAACCCTATTTTATACCGTATTTAGCTAGACGACGAGATAGTCACTGGAAAAGCAAAAAAATATTCAACATAGAGTTTGCTTAAACGAGTAAAAAACTTAAGTAAACTTAAGTAAAAAAAAGTAAACGACGAGGAAAAGTATTAATTTACTGTTAACACTACTTACTTTGATACACGAATTATTGTGGTAGTGGACCCACACTGTACCGTCTACACTGTAAGCTAAGCTGTACTTGTTGGAATACTGTAGGCGGTCTACTCTACCCTGTGTTGCTACTTTGGTAATAGTCTTCACTGATCCAAGGTCAATCTGCAGGTATTCACCAGCAGCTGCACGAAGAGCAATCCAAACTGCTCGATCGGATTGGGCTGGAACCCGGTGAAGTCGAGCGTACCAGGGATAAGTCTCAATGTTGTAATACGAAGAAGCGGAGATTTGGGAATCTAGAATTCTTCCATCTTGCATCCCAAGCGCTCCTTCACAGCCTTTCGAAAATTGAAAAAAGAGTATTTTGTTACGTTCGCTTAGTTTCGCTTACTTTTTTGTTTGGTTTCCTGTTACATTTGGTCCCACCACAGTTTAAAGTGCA